TTCATTGTTTCGAGAAAGCTGGAAGCTTCTTTTGTCGATTGAAATAAATGTTATGTTCAGTTCACATGCTTAATTACAATTAGGGTTAGTACAGTATCCATTTTATTCGGGTGTTGTTTATCGTAAAACAAACTTTGACAGAAGATTATTGTGCCACACATGATTATTGTTGAACTGTACCTGTCATTATTTAGCAAGAATGCAGTCTCGTAATTTAAGTATTTCATGCCACTATCGATTATATGGGTTTTGTTTGTAGTCGTTATTATTTTATTTATAAATTTCCATCTCTTATTGAGTGGATTTTGAACAATTTGAATTAAAATTTCAACACCCTGGTGTTATTTTGGGTAAATGAAACATAGTTTAGTGCCTACTGATTATTAGTTTGAGTGGCATTACATCACAGTAAGGCTGATGACGATAATTATAACAAATCTTTCTTTACTAGCCCTATTACAGGTTTCCAGTAAGAATGTGACAACTCTATCGCTTTCTGGAGTTAATTATGTTGTTTTATATAATAAATGAAAGAAACGTCTACTGTAATTCATCTATTGTGAAGCGACATAACTGTTCGTTTTGCATTCTTATAACCATATGAATGACAGGATATGACGTCAAATAGAATATTTATCGATCAGTCCGTTTGTGACGTAACAACACCTGAATAGTTGTATTCCCAGATAACTCTCGATATAAATAGATTTGTGGGATCTCGAAGATTGATGAAAATTTACTCACTGGTTTCTACTTATTATGCTCCAACTGGAGGATCCTAATTAAATGCAAGTTATAATTTTCTGTTAAAAAACAAACAAGCCCCAAGACAGCATATGAGTGTAACTACTAAAATTAAAACTCAAACTACACAATAGCTACCTCTCCTTGTAATATTCTTAAAGTCCTAGTAGTTATCTGTGATTATAGACTTAATTGACATAAACATATCTTAGAAACATGTAATAAGGTTCATAAATGTCTAATTATTCACAGAATCTTGAAAAGAACTATAATGTTTATGTCTCCAAAATCTCGGCTACGACTTTACAAACTTCTCTTTGCCCGTACCGAAAATATTACTGTCAAATTCCCAATATTATACAATTCAGTGAATCCAAAATGCTGAAAAAAAATTGACTCTTACTTATCAGATTACACTTTATTGATACCTACCTTAACAGCCTATATATCCAGAAAATATCCTCCTTTACAAAGTAATTAAAATTATTTTTTCACTTGCTGAACGCACTGTCGAAACAGATCATTCGAGAAATTCGCATTAAAAAAATAATTTCAAATGAATATAATTTTCAAAGTGAATTTAATATTAGAGAATCATTTTGTGTTGTTAATTATATAACACCGGGTTTAGCTGGTGTTAATGCGCAGTTTTGGAAAGAAATATTAATTTCTTATACAATATAACATATATTTGACCTACCACTTAAAGTTTATAATAAGTAAAAACTCCTTATAAACCTCCCCGCCTACCGTGTGTATTTTACTCCTGATGATGGCAGCACATATTCTGTAGAATAATGTAGCCATTAAATATTAACCGTCGGCAGTCAAATAGATTTATTGTTGTTGTTTTTTTTAAATGGGTTGCCTTGATTGAATTTTCGTATGTTTTTCTTATATTAATTTTCTATGGATATATAAATGGATGTCTGTTATGTATCAATCAGATGCCAGTCCCCTTAAGAGTATTGTTAAAAGCGCAAGATGGAAGTGAAAAGTAGGTTATCTTCTGTTCTACTTGTGTGGGGCCCGGCATGGCCAGGTGGTTAAGGCACTCGACTCGCAATATGAGGGTCGCGGGTTCGAATCCCTGTCACACCAAACATGCTCGCCCTTTCAGCCGTGGGGGCGTTATAATGTGACTGTCAATCCCACTATTCGTTGGTAAAAGAGTAGCCCAAGAGTTGGCGGTGGGTGGTGATGACTAGCTGCCTTCCCTGTAGTCTTACATTGCTAAATTAGGGACGGCTAGCGCAGATAGCCCTCGTGTAGCTTTGCGCGAAATTCAAAAACAAACAAACAAACAATACTTGTGTGGTCACGAATAATGCCCAAGTCTCGAGCTTTTCTTTTTCTTTTTTTTTTCACTACCTGCATGTCCATAATGTTCGAGTTTTGAGTCATTTTCTGCACTACCTGTGTGACAGAAGTAAAATGGTTACTTATGTGGTTAAATATCTACAGTGGATAGAAAGTAATTCGCAAAATTTACCCAGGAGGTCTTAAAAACAGAAACAAAACACCGAACTTCAGAGCTGTGTATATTCAACACCTTTTAAAATAAACTTAATTACCCAGTAACTTTTTTTCTTATCCATTTAGTCACCGACTTGATGCCTGTGTAGTTGGTCCTTCAAGGCTATTCTTACACAACCCATCCCCAAGAAAAAATAAAATTGACCCTCCCCGTTTTTATTTCTATCGAGATCCGCTTTCTAGGATAGTATAATCAGTGTAATCAGTCAAATGGCAGAGCTATAATTCAATCTTTGTTTTATTCAAAAACTTTTATCTGTCTCAAAACAAAACAATAGATTTAGTTTTTCTATAGATAGCTTTGCAAATGTCTAATTGTGAGGTAGTCGCAAGATTTAGAAATGAAGTGCACTGAATGAATGTGGAAATTTAAGACATATATTATCAATGAAAATTCTATATCACTAAGCACGGTAGTGCTTGGTATGTAGAGATGGGTCGAGAAAAAATAATGACCGCCGCATTCAATCTATTACTCTATGATGCTTACAAATAACTGCTAAAGTTGAGTTATAGCCTTATTTGAGCACCTAATTATCATTATCGAGTATTTCACAGCTTGTATAACAGTAATATTATTTTGTTTTTCTACCACACATATTCCTGTGGGGAAATAATAAAAAGGAAAACTACTACTTAGCAGTGAGTTCAGTTAATAAGCATGTGTTATTTCCATGTTTCATAAATAACAGTTTCACTTTTGTTTGCTAGATGGCAGCACAAATTGTTCTTATATAACAACTGTTTGTGACTTTTCATTGCACATGATATCTGCCAAAACAATTTCAGTAAAAATAAAAAAAAAGAAAGAATAATCTAAAGTAATATTCAAGGTATCAAGAAGATCATATATTTATGCAACTGACAGGTCTGTGTATATGTTATTGATGTCACAGTTTAAAAACATCAGTTTCTTAATTATCAAAGCAATACATTATATAGTAGTCTACTTTTCTTCAAATTTTTAGTGTGGCCGAGCCTGATAGTTGTGTGTATATGCGCAGTATCATACTTCATGTCCTGTGATCTGTATTATGTCCTCATTATTAATTGACATGACCCTAGCATATGGTGGAGACGATTGTATGCACATGCAGTGAGTTGGAGTGAAGTTGGAAAGCGTGGATCCTGTAAATATCCCCTTAACGTAGATCCAGCGTTCTTGAGTACTTGTATCGTCCTGAAGAAACCATTCCAGCTTCGCTGGCCCCCATTGTAATCTAAAATTAGAGAAACTGACAAAAGTGATACGTTATTAATAATATATATTGCCATTGAGATATAAAAGTAAAACAAATGTTCACTTATCAACCTACTTCATTGAAATTGTTTAAAAAAGAGGGAAACAAGTAATGAAAAAATTGCAAAAAATAATTATGTTATAGAGAGGGAAATGTCAAAACGTACAGAAACGAGGTAGGGATAAATACACAAAACCATACAAAAATCCCTAAATAATAGTCAGAAAGTACTGAGTCAATCTTACAAGCTTATGGCCATTAGCCACTGTAAGACTGTATAGAACTATTCAGATTAAATCCTTTTATTCAAATCTAAATTCATACAACTGACAGAAATTCAACATTTAGTTGCTGATAAAACTTATTCTTCGAAAGATTTGGCTACTTCTGTAGTGATTTCTGTATGGTTTTATGTATTCATTCCTCCGTATCTTGTTTCTGTACTTTTTGGCATTGTCATCCCTACATCATACTTAATTTTTGCAATTTTTTATTACTTGTTATTGTTTCCTCCCAACCCATTGTGTTATTTCTTAATATAAAGCAAACAGTCAACTCATTTAGTAAAACAAAATATCAGGTAAAACAGTTTGTATCAGTAGCACTTAAATTATTTTAAAGATTAAATTCATTACAGTTAAAGATTTTTTCAAATGTGCTATATCAATTTGCCCGTGCTAATCAGAATAAAAATAACGTTAATAAAATTTATTCACTAAACTAGTTGTTGCCACTCCATAAGTTCGTTTTTGTGAAAAATCTTTAAAAAATAGCCTAGAACTTTTTACAATCTCCAGCTTGGCCTACTAACCCCAAATGTACAACTGAATTTTTTAACTCTACATGATCTCATTTTAAATTTTAACTAATAGATACGTTTGTATATAAAACTTCTTGAATATTCAATTTATTTGGAATTACGGACAAATATTTAGATATTTCTCTGGTGCCTAGATTATTTTGATTTAGTTTACCAGAAAAAAAAAGTATTCTAATAGCAGATCAATTACAACAATAAATGATTTTTTATTTATTTATTATTAGCCCTTACACAGCCTGGAAGGAAATGGGAGTTCAATGTCCTTTGATGAGGGGGGATATTTTTTTTCTTTTTTCAGAACATTATGTTATAGTCATGAAATGAAAAATACATTTTTTTTTCATGCATTACTGTATTAATTTAAAAACTGAATATTTTATACAAACAAAACAAAACCGTACTTTTGCCAAAAGTCTCCCGAAGGGTTAATGATAATTTTAGGGATTTACTACGCTAAAATATGGGGTTCTATTCACAGTGGTGTACATAGCGCAAATAACCCATTCTGTCGCTTTGCGCTAGAAGAACAATTTGTCATGAAACGAGTAAATTGTGCTGCCATCTAGTACTACAACTGTTTAAAACGATGCGGTGATTGACGTAACAGTACGTCACGATCGCGCGATATTACTCGATAATGCAGCAATGGAGGTAGCAGGTTGAAGATCCTGAACTAATAATTATTTTATTTGTTGAAAGGTTTATACAGTATGTTATATTTTAGGACACTTTCATTATTTGTATTTTAAGTATTAATTTTTATTGACGACAAGCTTGAGCCCTTTTAATGTGGACATTTATGCATGATAACATATTTAAATCCTACGTGTATAAAACTGTTATCGAACGCCTCGTGTTGTGAACAGGGTTGGACAGTTGTGTTTTCTCGTTCACATGCATGGCAGGGGAGTATTCTCGTAAAACACTGAGTAAGTAAAACACATCTTAAGATAGAGGATAAACATTTCGTTGGTTTATATTTTTGTAATATTATAATTTACTAAATCAATGGTAAGATTTCTTAAATAATGAATAAAACAGTAGATAAAAACAAGCGTAGTTGCGGTGCTGTTACTACTAGTTAGTGTTAACTGATATTGCATGTCTTTACGCTAGCAGTAGCACGGATGAAGTAGAACTTAAAAGATTATGAAGCAAAAATGAACGTGATAGTCACTACTTGTTAAAATGATGTCTCCGAAGCAGAGGTATTTTTCAGAATTTCAGTAAACATGTTGCGAAATTTGCCCTTATTGTATAATTAATTGTTGGCAAATATATTTTACGAGTGTTAGTAACGTAACACATAGTAGTAGTAGTAATAGTACATAGGACGAGATTGCAGAACCATAGACAGAGTTATACTATCATATATAGTCTAGTAATAGTAGTACATAGTTACTAGTTAGTTCACTGGCCGCAAGACTCTGATAAAAAATAAACTGATAAATGTCCTGTGACAGAAGTTAAATTTTATAAAATGACAAGTGATTGTTAAATATTTAAAAATATCTTTTTTTCAGACATGAGCATTAGTTTTGTCAGCCAAATCAGAGTCATATCAATAACAACGAAAAAGAATTCCACTCGAATCTCTAATTTCAAAGGCACATCCAAGTTCACCAGAAACTGCAATGTATATTGTTTTCACATAAAAAATTAAACAATTTTTAAAGGATCAACCACCTTATGAAAAATTATCAATAAATCGTATTTTATAATTCATAGGTGTATTTTTATAAAACTGGACTGTGTAAATTTTACAAAGGTGTTTTATTTTAAGGCTCGGAGATCTATAAAATTAAAAAGTAAGTGGTTATTGTTATTACGATGTTGTTATTTTTTCTAATAATGATTTTACTTACGTCTATCTATCGGATAATTTTACTTCATCTTGTGAGAAATTTTAATTACTAAATAAGGAATTACAAATAATCCGTCAGAGTAGCGTTGCAGTACCGTAATCAAGACTATATGTACTTCCGCAGAGTACCCCCGAAAGTGTTCTGTTTCAATAGTAAATAAAACCAAAATTCAGAGTAAGAAATATTTTTATTTCTTGCTTTTGAAGTTCATATGTTGTGCTATTTTGTAACTTACAGAGGGCATAATTCTTCTCGTGATTCGTGACATGCGCACGCTTGACTGACGTCATGACCTACAAAGTGCAATGTTAAGCGTCCCTTATGTGACGTCATTTTAGTGTCTACTGACCGACTGACAGACAACACATTACTGTATAGGGTGTGAGTGGTTAAAACAAGTGACCCCTCCAGGAGGCCTTCACCCTCTTTTGGCGAAATGAATTATATATGACAAGCAAAAGTATCTCTCTCCAGTGACGTGAAAAGTTTAAGTTAGTCTATCAATTTAAATTATTTCATGGACTTTAAAAAGGTTAATTGTGTGTTACACTCTTGGTTTCAGTCAGAGCCAAAGCACTGAGCTACTTATACCGCCCACCGCGAAAGTAATTGTTGAGCATTTCAGTCATGCTATAAATTTTTATAAAACTGGACTGTGTACATTTTACAAAGGTGTTTTATTTTAAGGCTCGGAGATCTATAAAATTGAAAACAAGTGGTTATTGTTATTACGATGTTGTTGTTATTTTTTTCAAATAATGATTTTACTTACGTCTATCTCTCGGATAATTTTACTTCATCTTGTGAGAAATTTTAATTACTAAATAAGGAATTACAAATAATCCGCCAGAGTAGCGTTGCAGTACCGTAATCAAGACTATGTGTACTTGCTCAACAACATACGATAAATCTACATTTTTATTCTGTAAGTTACGTAACATTTTGAAATATGAATGATAGTGTGATTAATTCTTAACAATTTATTGTAGAATATCCTGCTTACGGAATAAAATTTGGCATTAATATTATCCATGCTTGTTCTACCGTCATTTCAAAAAAGTGAATGATGAGTTTTGCTTGCGTGCGCAGCTTTTTCAAACGCTGCGCGAGAAGCTGCCGTCGTAAATGGGAGACAGACGAAGGCTCGGACAGGCATCATGGTTCGCAATATTCGTAAGATTGGAGTTGCATGCAAAAGGACTTTAGTATCGGTCAAAACACAGGCTCTCCTCCCTCCGATTATGAAGTCCCGTTGGAGCACGTTTGTCAGTGCTTAGTACACTGGAGTGTGGCAATGTCGTTATTTCAAAATACCGACCGCTATTACTTTATTATTACTGTGCATCTTTTTTTTTAATTTTATTATGATTATTATCTATATATATTAATTCTTAACATCAAATACCCAGTGTAAATAAGAAAGATGGTTTTTATACTATTCCTTCATGAGGAATTTTGCACCGGTCTTAAATTATAAATAAACTTCGACTATTTGGTATCAAAAGTTCTAAACTTTTCTTTTTTCGTTGTTCTGAAAGTTAAATAGACATTAAGTTGGGAAATTGTGACAGTTGCTAGTGAGCTAGTTTTAACTATATTTGAAGTAGCTTTAGTAGCAAGTGCTTCTGGGTAACCCTTTAGCTCATTCAGTAGAGCATTTATCTGTGGTATATGTGCGCCTCAGGTTCAATCGCGGACAGCGCAACAATTTAAATTACTTTAAAAAAAGTCAATAGAAACATGCATATTTATACTAAATTATTTTTTTGTATAATTTTTGGTGGTTAAGGAGCTCGACTCGCAATCTGAGGGTCGTGGGTTCGAATCCCATCCCACCAAACATGCTCGCCCTTTCAGCCGTGGGGGCGCTATAAAGTTACGGGCAATCCCACTATTCGTTGGTAAAAGAGTAGCCCAAGAGTTGGCGGTGGGTGGTGATGACTAGCTGCCTTCCCTCTTGTCTTTCACTGCTAAATTAGGGACGGCTGACGCAATTAACCCTCGTGTAGCTTTGTGCAAAATTCAAAACCAAAAAATCTTTGATATACCTCATGAAAGTGAAATTGGAAGTTGTTTGCATGAAGTTCTTATGTTTGATAATTAAAGAATATAACTTGTACCGTACTGACTGTCTTTTCTTAAGACAGAAATTATAAGCAAGGCAATTTTATTAGCTTTAAATATTTTGATAATTTCTGGACATCGTTTTTTTTTCAAGTTTGATTTAAACTTGTACGAAGAAAACTAAACATTACGTCAGAAGGAAAAATCAGTTACAAATTCTTTTTCGATGATGTTGAGGATAGGCATTGAAAAATGCACAGTTTTCCTTATTTTAAATTGTATTACTAGTATTCTCAACATAATTTTAAATGTGATTTTGTTCTTGAACGTGACTTGTATCACGTGGCACTTTGGTTATTATTCAAGTACAATATATCCTTAAGTTCCAGGACTTCGAATTCTTTGAATCATATAACAGAGAAACGAGAGTTTTTTTGTACCTTAATTAAGTATAAAAAGTAAATACGTGGCTCTACCGGCATAGTTTTTATACTTAACTATTCCAAGTTTACTTGAATAATTTCTAATTATTAAGGCACCAATTGCAGTATAACCTAAGTGGTAATTCAGGATGCTCATGCAGCCAATGCCATGTTGACATCGTTACTTACGGATCTTTACAAAAACCAACGTCCTCTATGATAGTCACATTCCATTGTTATCTTGGAAACGTAAAAAGTGGTTTCTGATGATAATATATAAATAGTTGTTCCCTATATGCATGAACGCGCGCAGTTTGCGAGCCGGAATATGAATTCTTTCTCATACGAGTCATCAGCGTGATGTTCAACCTTATAATCACGACAGGTGGCTTCTAAACGACGCTTTCAGATATTTTGTTTCTGCGAGGTTATTACAATAAAAAAATATTACTAAAAGGTGCAGTAGAAACACCATTATTTATTTTTATCGCTTTCAGATGGTTTGTTTCTGCAAGGTTATTAAAATAATAAATTTTACTAAAAGATGCAGTAGAAGCACCATTATTTACTGTTTTTTTATTATATCGTAGGCCTCGCCTAAAGTAGTTTTAACATATAAAATGCATTTTTTAGGTTACCGAGTCTTTTAAACCAAATGAATTGTTATGGAAAGTTTGTGTTGACAGAGATTGAACTTAAAATTATACACTAAAACTGTTCTCTTTACAAATTCGTCATCCAGTTCTTATTTGTAAATAAATTACTTTTTAAAGTTTCAAGAGAAGAAGCGTATGGTAGGAAGGTTTTTAAAAACATTATTTATACCGTGTTTCTCCGCATGATAGCGTCATCCTGGCAACCGTTTAATGGAACTTTGCCGCCAGTCTGGAACCTACCTGCCACATTCTCAACGCAGGTGGAACTGTCGTTTTTGTTGTTTTGAGGGAAACCTTGACGCCGCTGAGCCTGTTTCCTCCGTAGTTACCAGTCTTTATGACGCTACCTGGTTGATGTTGTACATAGAGGGAAGGTTCCAGATTGTCACAAACTTAATTTTGTAGACAGATGGATAACACGAAAACTTATTACAAAACGGACATATATTGTGCACGTTAAGTAGTGAATATAAGTTATATACACGCTATTTTTAATGTATAGTGGTTACAATACAAAAGGTTAATTCTCCATCTGTGGTTTGCGAACTCCCTTCAGAGTCTGTGGACAGGTTGCATAATTTTAGGAAATATATA